TACATATAGTGATGAACACTAGAGAGGTGTTCTGAATCTAGCGCAGAACAATTGAAAAAAAAACGAAAAAAAGAGTTGCGCACCAGAAGCGAGTTCTTTCCCGCTGAGCGCGCCTCGTGATTAAAACTCGCGTTGCCGCTGTGTCGGGCCGCATGCCGAGCTTTTAAGAAGAATACGCAGCGATGAACTGAACCAACAGCCAAGTGGATTTTCTACGACTGTAACAACACGCGCCGCTTGCAGAGTGCCTCGCATTATCGTAAATGTTCAAATGTGTGCATATATTACAGCTGATTATATATGCGAGTTTGCACATGTTCTCCCCCGCCACCGCCGCTATACCACCGCTGCCACCGTGATGCGTGACAAAAGCTGAGTTTGTATGAGCGTTTACGGTCGATGTATAGACAGATATTGACAGAGTTAACCCGTGTGGCCGCGTGTCGCTGCAGAATCTTTTATTCGCGTTACGGCACGCAGGAAATGGGAAGAAAAAACGGACGACAGCAACCTCTCAAACAGGCAACGATTTGTTTAATTTAGGAATAAATTAAACGCACTGGGCCGAGAGAGAATCTCTCCGCTCTGGGCGGGAGGTGGGGGAGGAAATTTCCTTAATGCATTGCGATGTGTGTCGCGCTCTCGGTCGGACAATTTAAGATGATCAGTTAGATTCGAGCATAGCGGACCCTCGTATACACCCTTTGATGTTCGCATATGGGTGGGGTCTTTGAGTCGTAGAAGCCACTGATAAGCTGGTGTACTGCAGCATCTTTACCAGCTTCTTCCGTATCATCTTACGTATCATCCTTCGCAGCATCTTCAACAGTACCTGCCCAGATAGGAACTTCTGTAGCATCTTTAATAACATATTCTCTAGCGTCTTGTGCAGCACTTTCCGCCGCAGCATCTTCCTCTAGCATCTTCCTCCAGCATCTTCCGCAGCATATTCCGCAGCATCTTCATCCAACATCATCCACAGCATCTTCCGCAGCATCTTCATCAGCGTGATGGTACGCTTAAATCTGCCGCTGCGTCTCGCTTATATTGAGTTATTAATTCCGCCTATGATGCATGAAAATTGTATTCGTAATCAACCGGTCGACCGTTTTGCTCCTTAGCAAAACCTCCGTACCGCGCGACAGCCGTGTGACACATTTCTCTCCGTGTGTCATGCTATACAACAGCCGTTGTGACACATGTCTCTCTCTCTCTCTCTCTCTCTCTCTCTCTCTTTCTTTGCTCTCCCTCTGTGTGTGTCTCTTTTTTTCTCTAGCGTTCTTCTTTCTCTCTCTCTCTCTCTCTCTCTCTCTCTCTCTCTCTCTCTCTCTCTTAATCTTTCTCTCGCTCGCTTACGCGCTCTCGTTCTCTCGTTCTCGCTTTCTCGCTCTCTTACTTTCTCTCTCTCTCTCTCTGGCTTTCTTTCTTTCTATTTCTCTTTTTCTTTCCCTCTTTCTCTCGCCCTCGCGTCTCATAAAATCTCTGTATCGCCATCTTTCATCGCACCACGCACTGTCGCACCGACACCAGCCGCGCGCACGTCTGCATTCTCACCATCATACGGCGCGCCACGTGTCCGCACTACGAGGTGTAATGCTCTCGCAACTCGCCGTCTCGGTTTTATGAAATTAAGCCTAATTTGATAACTCCGCCGGAATTTTGCGCCGGCATTTTACGGCCCGTCCCCTGGGGGGGTGGGGCGCAGCTTGTGCGATGTTACGACTCCATAACCGCGCCCCGCTAATCCGGCGTTATCAGCCGCGGGACTTTACGGTCCTCTCCGGGCACATCAATGATTTCCCGGCTAATTATCCGATAGCGATGTTTTGGCGCGGAGGTAACAACTGCGCGGTGATCCCCCGCTAGCTGGCGGTAAATGCGGTTAGCACGCACGCACGCACGCACGCACGCACAGCACGCACGCACGCATGGCACGCACGCACGCATGGCGCGCACGCCGCACCTCTAGCGCGATCTCGTGAGATTCGTTCATACATGGCGAAGATAAGCATAACCACGGCTCGCGGGTCGCATCTAGGCAGGCGGTCCGTGAGGGTGGGAAACAATGCTGACGGTCTAACGGCTGACGATGGATGGTCAGCCTGCAAGCTGGTGGTGAACGCATGGCTGACACGCGCGTGGCGCCGTGAGATTCATATACACGGGAGGAATAACGGATTGTGATCAACTAATCCCCCGCCAAGCGTCGGTGCGAGGGTCTAAACGCGATAAACAGATCTAGGAGTAGACGTATAGCTGAGGTTAGCGGGTTTATAATGCACAATCTTACCGAGTCTTAGTCGGTGGGGAAGCGTAACGGTTATGTTATGGTATGTTATTAAGTATGCGTTGGCACGTGATGACAGAATGAGGGGATGACCATGAAGGTATCCCACGTGTGAATTAGCATCGGTTCACGCCTTAGCATATGGACAGTAATAATAATAGAGGAAATGTGGTGGAGATACCGGAGTGGACACACTCGTGAGAAGTGCATTCATCGTTCTGAATTGATTCAACTGATTTCGCGGTTGCTAGCGCCGGGCGGTGAAAACAACGGTTACTTTCAAATTGCATTACGTATTAATCAAATTAGTTTAATTAATGAAATTTGCAAATTAATCGAATTATTAAATATAAAGTTTCGTATTTTCTAAATGGAATGAAAATCCTCACGACTCACGAGTGTTCATTATAGCAGAGATTAAAATTAACCCTCCCCACTGCCTCCTGCCCACGAAAGAATAAAACTCGCAGCGTCGGTAGCTTCTGCGGTGTTTGTGATCGATTCTTTGCATAACTTTACTTGATTCAGGTGTTGAAAATTATATGCTGCTAGGGTCTTAGCGTAATTAACATCGTAATAATTGCGCATATGCACATGTTGTCAGGCGTGCTGCAGAGTTCATTGAGTAAGTAACGGCGCTCTGCCATCGCGCGCGTGCGTGTAGCGTGTAGCATGTAGCGTGTAGCGTGTAGCGTGTAGCGTGTAGCGTGTGTGCGTGTATCGTGTAGCGTGTAGCGTGTATCGTGTAGCGTGTAGCATGTAGCGTGTAGCATGTAGCGTGTGCGTGTAGCGTGTAGAGTGTAGCGTGTGCGTGTAGCGTGTAGTGTGTGCGTGTAGCGTGTAGTGTGTGCGTGTAGCGTGTAGTGTGTGCATGTAGTGGGTGCGTGTATTGCGTGCGTGTAGCGTGTAGTGTGTGCGTGTAGCGTGTAGTGTGTGCGTGTAGCGTGTAGTGTGTGCGTGTAGCGTGTAGTGTGTGCGTGTAGCGTGTAGTGTGTGCGTGTAGCGTGTAGTGTGTGCGTGTAGCGTGTAGTTTGTGCGTGTAGCGTGTAGTGTGTGCGTGTAGCGTGTAGTTTGTGCGTGTAGCGTGTAGTGTGTGCGTGTAGCGTGTAGTTTGTGCGTATAGCGTGTAGTGTGTGCGTGTAGCGTGTAGTTTGTGCATGTAGCTCGGCTCACTTACACCGCTCTCGCTGAAGCCTTCTCTACTAACAGCGTGCAAGCTTCCGCGCTTTGAATCTCGCAATTTTGAGCCTCGCAAGGAGAACTCACTGGCGCGTATAATACATAGTTATGGGAATTTATTCGTCAACGTTCATCGGAATCTATTTTTTTACGACACGTGCATATATACGTCGAGCATAACTTCGCGAAAATATTCAAATTTCTTAAAACTTTTCAGCTCAGTTTAGGCCATTTAATTTGAATGCGATAGTTTAGATTAACTCGCTAGCAGTCACATCACCCCTGTATACGTCATTTACGAAAACGAAATCTGAGCCAAAAACTAACTTGGAAAATTGTTCCCATCACTAGCTAATATGCTAATATATCCATCTCGCAGTCGCGCTCTCTCTCTCTCTCTCTCTCTCTCTCTCTCTCTCTCTCTTTC